ACACACTACACACACACACACACACACACACACACACACACACACACACACACACATATATATATATATATATATATATATATATATATATATATATATATATATACACATGTATATACATACATACATACATACATACATACATACATATGATCCGCTCGAGCAAAATCTTGCTGACAGAAACATTAAGTCTGGTCGTTAACATGCTGTCAAAACAGTTTTAATTTATTTGAACCCCACTGAAACCTATTATACAGTACATGTCAATACGTTGCGCCACTAAAATCTCACCTGACGGATTGAGCCCTTGTGTTGGTACCACACGTGCCGCAGGCGTGGCGATTAAATTCGCATCACTGCGGTCTCCAAACAGCACAGAGTCTTGTTTGACATTCCTGTCGTTGACCGCCTTTTGGGTTGTGTCCTGGGCCTTTTGCGAAGTCTTTTGAGATGTGTAGGCCACGGTCGGTTCGGTACTAGCTCGACTGAGGTACACTTCCAGACGGCCAGCAGCAATGTACGCTTGAACTGCGGTGGTGATGAGTTGACCCAAATACATCAGCGGAAACTGGTCAAAGGATAAGTATGAACGTTTGGGTGTCAATGACGGGTTTATATATGTCTATATATGCTGTGGTTCACGTATAAAAGTATATATATGTTGTGTTATAAGCTCAAATGCTTCTCTACATACTCAGCTACATCAGCGGAAACTGGTCAAAGGATAAGTATGAACGTATGGGTTATAGTGACGGGGTTATATATGACTATATATGCTGTGGTTCACGTATATATATATATATATGTTGTGGTTTAAGTACAAATGCTTGTATACATACTCCGCTACATCAGCGGAAACTGCTCAAAGGATAAGTATGAACGTATGAGAATTAAAGATATTGTATACAGTTGTGGTTTAGGTAGCGATGTATATATATATATGCGTATAAATATATACCCCGCATTTTAAACCCTAAACCCTAACAAAAGTACAAACACGCTAAGATCGAGAAAAACCTAAGTTTATACACTTAAACTAATTAGTACTTCGCAGACACTTGGTAGTAATCAAGCATTAACAATGGTGTACTAGAGTTTAGCAGCGAGTCGATGAGGTTTATGGTTTAGGGGTTTATGGTGTATTAGCAATTGAGATTGAGTGTTTGTAATATTTTAATTGTATATGCAATCCATGCCGATTTACCCTAGACCATAAACCCTAGAACCTTTAAACCCGTGCTAGTATATTGCATATGCCAGAACACACCCAACTTTAAAATACTTCTGAATTCCCCGCAAATGATGTGACTAGTAATTGCGTCATAGAGTTTTTCGTGCAACTATGTACGGAACTAATCTCAACACTGAATATATGTAT